AGCCCACCTTATCAGACAGGACATGCCTTATCCACATTTCTGGAGATGCTCCAGGAAAAGAGTGCCTCTTGTGACAAAGGACAATGGCCTTGGAAAAGCAGCAGCACCACGCGTGATCACAGAAGGAAATGGTGCTGGCGCCACTCGCTAACACAATGACTTAGCTGCTGCTTTGCTCTTCTTTGTTTTTGTGCTGGGAGCAAAATCGCATTGCTAACTTCAGCTCATCCAAAATTCTCCTCTTTCCCGCAATCAATATAGCTCAATAGAGTTTGCCCACAACGTGACAATGACACAGGTATACAGAGCCCTTCCACATCATTGGCTTTCAGAAGATCATCTACACAGAGTGCTTGGGCTTAGAACAAAGGTCTCTGGTGGCCCCATACGGAAAACACTGAAGTCTCACCCCTAAAATGGGGAACATACGACCAGATAACTCTGAAGTGGCTGATAACACGCAAGAAAATATATATTCAATATCTCTATAATGAGAAGAATGCAAATCAAGGCAATAATGAGATACTATCCTTCACCTATCAAATTTTTCTAAGATTTTTTTTAACAATCTGTAACATACACTGTTGGTTAGTGGTGTAATGAGACGGATACCTTTTGGAAAACAATTTGGTAATATGTGTCAAATGATTAAAAATACACTCTGTGACCCAGTAATTCCACTTCTGGGAATCTATTTTAAAAATAATCATTGATCCGCTCACAGGTTTATGGACAAAAATATTCACTGAAGTGTTCAACAACCGGGAATGGTTAAGTAAATTATACGAACACCCACATGCAGCCATTAAGCTGCATGATTGCAAAGAATTCTTAATCACAGGAGGAAGTGCTCACTCTGTGTAAGGACCAGGGGAAAAGCCAGGATACAAAATTATATAAACAGCATGTTAGTGAATTTTTGGAAAAAAAAAAAAACACTACGGAAAGACCTCCAAACAGTGATTATCAAGAAGTGGTGGAATGGTGCAGGGTAATTTTAAAAAATATATTGCCTCTTCCACATGTTTATAATCTGTAACATTACTATTATAATTAGCAATATAGAAACAGTAGCTAGTTGCTAAAGTGAACAAGCCAAAAGAAAACTGGTAACGTTTGGTTAGAAATATCAAATGTGATATATTATCAATTGTTCAGAGTCCTTACTATAAAAAGGGCAAGAAATAAGCAACACAACAGAATTTACACATCTTTTTATTACCCAGCAAAGCTTCTAAAAAGACAAAAAAAGACACTCTTGTGACTATACCCAAAGGAAAGCAGCAAATAGCCACCCAACCTGCTTTAGCGATAAGACAACCTGAGACTATTTTGCTGCATTTTTAGGAGGGTCAGTTACAAAACTGGCTTGTTTACCAGTTTCCGCTAATAGCGTAACAGCCTAAGCTATCAAGGCTAAAGACTCCTAACCTTTTCATTTTGGAACAGTAAGTGTACATCCACAGTTTCTCTCTCACACACACGTCTACAAGTACAGATCTCACTTAACTCAATTATCTGCATTCTTACCTGGACCATTTTAGTGTGGACGCCCTGCCCCATCTCGATTCCACCGTGAGTCACCAGTGCAGACCCATCGAGATAAACGTGAACCAGGGCAGCAGCCTAAGCAAAAAAAGATGACAATGGTTTCATGATCTTTCTGACGGATATTATCATATGCTTGTCAATTAGCTTTTCCCTGGAAACGATCCCTTTCTTTCCACTCCCTGCCCACATATACACAGATGCTTCTCCCATCGCCCTGAGGGGGCTGAGCAGATCAGGGCGGGGGCTGCCTCATGATCCCCCCACAAGAGGCCAGGTTATCGCTGGACGGTGTTGAGTTTGGGGCAGGACGATGCTCCTTAAGCTACTATTTCCTCAGTAGGACTTTGAGCCTACTGGAGCCTTCAAGGATCCTCTGACCAGGGTGGACAACAATTTAGGTTTGGGGTTTGTTGGAGGAGGGTCAATGCAATGTTAAGTATAGACAGGCTGGTGAGAGGGGGAAGAGTTGTTTATGTGAACACATATTCCCATGGCTGTAGGCATGTTATAGAGAAGGAAAAATAATAATCCAAATAAGGTGGGACAGATAGACATTAATGTCCTCCTGCAAACTGAGCTAAGCCCCTCTAAATCATCTTGGCACACAACGACAGTGCTTTAGAGTTGGAGGGGAACTTGGGAGTAGTCTTATCTAACTGTAGAGCTCCCCACGGGGATCCAGAAGGAACGAAACTAACAGAATTAAAGGCTGCTGTAATCAGAAACAGCCACACTCC